TGCTCGGTTTCTTGAGCCTGTTGCTCGATCCTTTGCTGTTCTGCCATTCCAAGCCTTTCAAAATGCCGTTCCCTCTCGCGAGCTCGCCTCTCAATCCGGTTGATGTTGTCGTCGTACGGTAGAGGCGGTTCTGTGCTCCGAGACCTGGTTTTCATGCACCTGAAAGCAACACAAGAACTTGCAAGGAAGTTAGTAAAACAAAGAAAGGTAAAATCTTGAACTCAAGAACAAACAAAAGACTAATGCTCCGACAAGTTGGCAACGGCGCCAATTGATAGATATGGTTTTTTAGGTCTCAGGGCTATCAATCCCCTTTGTCGAAGTAGTACAAAGAGGTATCAATCCAGACAAGTCAACGAGACACTAGACTATGATGTTTGTTCATTTAAGTCAAGACAAAAGGTGAAGGTTTTGAACTAAGCTACGTAACAAACGACTAAGCATGAAAGGTAAAGCAAATGATTAGATCTAAACAGAGACAAGATGCAAATAATAACTAAGCGATTCAGATGATGATAATATGTAATAAAGCAAGAGACTTTAGACGAGATACTTGACTCGGGTGCTTCCAAGTTCAACTAGTGGGTTAATGAATCAAAACATCAAGCGGTTTCATTTAACTTTGAACTCAAGGCATGTTAATCTTCTCATGAAAGTATTAAGCATCTAAATTGATCCTCCTTCATACCAAAAATGTCTTTTGAGAAGCGTCGAATCAATCAGCAATAAGAATCAGTTCAAAAATGTCATTTAAGAGAACAAACTATCACTCTCGCGATGAAAGACTCTTAAACCCATAACCGAGTGGTTCAGACATTTCTACAAACACTTTTGATGCGAGATATGTCTCAGATCTGAACCTCAAGTGATGTGCTTGGATCCAGCCTAGAGATCTCGTCGGTTAAAGAATGAAACATGCAAGACTAGACACCTAAACCCACTAATCTACCTTGAAAGCACCCTAATCTACTCGTCTAAAGCCGCTTAAACGACTACTCACTAATCATAACGAGCTCACTAAGTCTTTTGCAAGACGTGTAGCTAGTCATGATGAGGAGTTTAATGATAGATGACAAAAGAAAATAAAGAAAGAACAAGATTTCTGATGCAAAAACGAGATATCGGATTAGACTGATCAAGTTTCACAAAAGAGGTAAGTTCTTAAAGCCAAAAACAGATAAGAGATAAGATGATTAGGTTTTTAGTCTCAAAATGTATATATAGCAAAGGTAAAGTGTTGCGGGTCAGCTCGGAACAAACCGGGTACTGAACCGCGTTCTTGGGTTGATGGGTGAGTGTCACGGTGTGTCGGAGAGTGAAGCCGAGGTCTTCATGTCGAGGAGTGCACGTGAGTCCAGATCCAAATGAAGATCTCGTGAAGAACACGTCAAGAACATGCATGAACCCTAGTCTTCGATCCATCTTCATGTGTGTGTTCTTGGGCAGCTTTGTTCTTGATTCTGGGTTCGTGACAATGGACCTCGGCATGAAATGCCGAGGCGCTTGGTAGTCGAGGGGTTTGAGCGAACAGGGGCCGGCATGCACGCCGAGGTCATTGCGCCGAGGTGCACGTTCAACACTTAGTCGTTTCCAGCTTCATTTTTTTACGTGTGCATGCCTTGATTCCAACGTGCCGAGGCGTCAGCACGAGGCCTAGTTCAGAATACTCCCAAAATATGAGCCTTGACTTGGCCGATGTCGAGGTAATGATGTCGAGCCCTGAGAAAACACTTAGCGCGTACCGCAACATATTTGGGTTCGTATCGACCATGTCACCTCCCGGAAACAGTAACTTTCAACCCACGACTCCAAATGCTCTGAGACCAGTTCCATAGTCAAGATGACTCAATAAGCTCGAACTTTGGTGAAGAAACCGTCGGAGCTTGGGAAGTGGAAGGCTTCCTGGATTTCACATCTTTGAACCGCATTGGAATCACCGGGAAATAAGCTGTTTGGACCGATGTGAACTCCGGAGACTTTATCTTTCAAACCACTCGTCCGAATTTAGCGATCCCAACCGTTCTGAAAAGGTCTTTCAAAGATCTCAAACTTTGATGAAGACCGGGAAAGCTGGTTCGGTCCGGAAAGGTTCCGTCCGCCGTGATCTTTGTACTCCACCGTTCGGTTCTCGGATGCGCGTAATGTTGGTGCATTTCCGGAAGCTGTATCTTTCTCCCCACTGGTCCGAATTGGATGATTCCAACTGTTCTGGGATCTTTGTTTGATTTTCTCCAACTTTGCTGAAGACCCCGCCAACTGGTTCGGACCGGAAGGTTCCCCGGATTGCTGATCTTTGAAACGCGCGGACAAGGACAAATTTTGGTCGAGAAAAGCTTCCCGCGGTAAGGAAAATGGCCGAGGGCTGTGTACCGCGGTAAGCTTTTTGGTCGTAAAAATTCCTTCGCCTCGGCCAAAAACTCAACCCGCGGTATTTACACCTGATCTTCGACCCAGGCTGACTTTGGTCGATCGGTACGGACTTTGGTCGGTGCTGAGCGATCGGTAAGCTTTTTGGTCGAGGTTGAACGATCGGTAAGGATTTTGGCCGAGGTTTCTGTCCGTCCGGTACGCGATTTGGCCGAGAAATTCCTCCAAGCGGTTTTCACCATTTTTGACCTTTTTCTTCACCGTCTTCTTCTCTGCTCCTCTTCTTAGGCTCCAAATGACTCCCAAAGCACCTGATAAGGACTTCAAAACATGCAAAACTCTTTGGGACCTAATGCAAGCCCTAAATCCTATTTTCATGCCTAAAGACTCAATTTACATGGGGAAAACACATAATGAGGACTCTAAAATGCACTCTAAATGATGTAAAATATAGACATATCACTTTCATACAAGATGTAGCATTGGAAACAAGGTATGTAGTCTCATCATAGATGGTGGCTCTTGTACTAACATGGCTAGCAAGTATCTTGTAGCAAAGTTAGGTCTTCAAAAGACATGTATTCTAATGGAGAAGTTGTAGTGCCAGATAGAGTGATATAATGGACCATTTGATGAATTTTCGTCCCTATTTATTTTTGTAGCTTAGTCGAAACATGGATAATCCATTTCAATAATTTTATTCATACCTGTGTGATGAATGTCCGGTTCTTGCCACAGATGATTTGGGTATTTATGATTTCCTTTCTGTATAAAACATTTGTGTTAAACTTCTTCAACTATACTTTTTGTTTACTCAGCTCTTGGTAATGATAATTTTGGAAGGAAACTTGAAAACCAATTTGATCTTTCAGACTTTTCCAAAGAGATTTGGAGGCTCCAAATCTGGATCGCAGATAGCCATTACAACCAATTAGCATCAATTTTAAGTGATGTTAGAAGTAAATCGTTTTTTAAATTGATGTCAAGCAAAATAATAAATATATCAATTATATTAATAGTAAATAGTTTTCATTATATTTTTTCAACATGTTTCATGTTTCATTTTTCATTTGAAATTTTTTGAAATATCCTTTATTTCATGGTTCAAAACATTTTTTTTAGTAAACCACCAATAAAGGGTTTCCTGGTCCTCCGTATTGAACCAGTTGACCCAAAAAACATTTGAGAAATTTTCAAAAGCCCTAAGTCACACGATCTTCGATCTCTCCAGTGAGATTCCGACGATTTTTGGGTGGTTTGTTCTGTGGTGTGAGGAGAAATACAACAAGAGAACGCTGAGCAGGATCCTAAAGACGAGGACTAAGATCATGAGGAACATTCAGAAGATGAATTTTTCAGAATATGTTGGTAACCACTCTGAATATGTTATCTTCATATGAAAAAAGTTCTCTTCAAGTAAAAATATATAGGCCATTTATATGGAATTATAGAACAAAAATATATAGACTATTTAATATGGAATTTATTAGAGCCAATATTGGGCATTATCTTTACTTGAATCTAGTTGTTGATGGATCTGAGTCCATGTTATATATAAGCAGACGTTGTAAGAGTCATAGGTTTGAGTCCTTCAAATATACTAGGTGTTCATAGATACCTTAAACACAACAAATATCACCTATAAGATTTTTTTGGTAACCACTCCGAATATGTTATCTTTCGTATGAAAAAAGTTCTCTTATGTTCACTTTTAAAGTAAATAATACGCATCCAAAGCTCCCAAAAATATCATTATATAAACATCATATATATAAGCACATAAATTAGTGTATATTTTGATGAACGTGAAGTATATTTCTTGAAATACACGGTTAATATTTATTCAATTTGAATCTCATATAATAAAACTTCTTCAAACAATGTTATTAAATGTTTTGGACAAACATTAATTTCCTCATGAAACTTGAATATGTATACTTTGTTTTGTCTATATATTTTAAGGTAGTCTAAATCCAATGAGGTTACTGATGAGATACTCAATATAGTTTCGTTCGTAATATATTGTTGTTGTAATCTAATCCAATCTGATGATCTCGTTTCTCTCGTCTATTGTTCTTGTGTCAGCAGAATTTACTCATTTCCAAGCAAGCTTGAAGATCGTTCTGACTATCTTACACCATCTTGCACCAGGTGTGAAGTGAGTCACTTTGACTTTGTTACTGTCAGATATTTCTTGCGTTAACATTAAAATATTTGTTTCACCAATCAAGATTCCATATATATATGTTGTAGTGCATCATGATTCCTTTCAGGTGTTACACAGAAATATGATGAACAACGTTTGAAGATGGTGGTTGAGTTCCGGTTTTAGGCTTTCGCGTGGCTGCACGGTGATGCGTGGTATCCACGTAAAGAAACATCGATGGTTGGAAAGTTGTTTACATTTGCCATGACATTTATTGTAATGGAGAAGTTGTAATGTCAGATAGAGTGATGTAATGTACCATTTGATTGATTTTGTCGGAACTTATTTTTGTAGCCTAGTAGAAACATGGATAATCCTTTTTCAATAATTTTATTCATATGAGTGTGAATGTCCCGTTCTTACCACATATGGTTTGGGTATTTATGATTTTGGTTATTTAAAAAAAAAACCACCAGTTTAGGCAGACCAAAGCCATAAAGCAGATATATGTTATTCTTGCAAATAAAAAATACGTTTACTCAAATTCCTTCGTCTCGAATTTTTCTTTGCCTCAAAGATGTTTGACGAATTGTCTGAATGAATTGAAATTCGGAGAAATTGAAGGAATTCAATTACTTTTCTCCTCTCCGTTCTGAACAAGGTCTGAGTTTTTTTTTTTCTTTCAATCTGTTTCTTGAAATGAGTACTGTTCAATTTTATGTTTTCGCGAAATCAAGTATTCGATTCGATACGATATTGATGATTTTTTTGAATCGATCGTTTCCTGTCTCTTTGGATCATCGAACTGAGTTTTTGTTTCATTTCTGGTGTGGTCTCTTAGTTGGATCTGAATGTTGAATTCTTTTGTCAGATCTGTGATGATGGCAATCAGCAAAACAGAGATTAATTTAAGGAGATTGCTTTCCGCTGCACCTAATCAACAAAATCAGTCAAAGCTTATGCATGTACGTCTTCTGGATCTTCTTCATGTACACACTATATTAGTTTTTGTAATCTCCTTCTGTTATTGTGCTTATATCCTCAAACCAACTTTTATGTAAACATTTGCAGTATGTTGCTACTCTGAGGGAACAATTAGAACAACTGTCGGAAGAGAAGACACATGAAGGTCTTCCCAGGTTACTACTCTCTCTGAATGATCCAGCATTTCATAGATTACTGGGTTGATATCTCGATTTTGGTTATCTCTTTCTATGATCAAGTGTTAGAGATTTGAGTTGAATTGCTTATCTTCTCTTCTGATCTCTTTTCCAGGGTTACAAAGACTAAGGTGAATGAATACTATGAGAAGATTGAAGCTGTTGCTTCCAAAATAGCTGCTCAAGTGGTTAGTCACCTATACTATAAAGAGAGTGTTTTTCTTTCTCTTTTGGGTTCTCGAGCTGAGAAATGAGGAGTAACCTCATAGAAGACATGTAGGCTCTAGCTTATATGATGCGCATTTGTTCTTAGTAAATTGTTCAACTTTCTTTCCTACTTAACTTCCCGCATAGAACCATTTCTAGTTACAAGAATTCCCGCATAGAACCATTTCTAGCGGCAACAAAACATTCTACAAATATATTGCCAAGTTAATTCTTAGCGGCAGAAATCATGTAAAACATTTAAGTCCTGGTTAAAGGTCTTTGCTTATCTCCTCAAACAAAAATGTGAGTTTCATTATCGCACTTCGTTACCTGCAACCACCAATCTCATACCAGAATACATAGTATTAGCGACCATCTGGTCATGAGTATATTAAAGAAAATGTATTATAGAGATTGAAAATTACCTTCTTGACATCAGATTTCTTCTACAAACTTCTTGTAATTTTACTGGATTGAAAAGTCCTTATTCCCTTTTTAGGAGTGAAGTTTACAATTTTTGGTTTTTTCATGGAGGGTCATTCTATTTCATAATGTTTAACAAGTCTCTGATGTGCTCATCTGAAATGAGTTAAGTCATCTTATACAAAAGCTATGTGCTCTAGAAACTCACATTGATTTATACCATTTCTTAATTTGGATGAATTGAATTCATCCAGAAATACTTGACTATATCTGTTGGACTTGATCGGTTTTTGTTTCATTTTTTTTTAAAGATATTGTTTCATTTGTTCTTTTGTGGTTTTCACCTGAGATCTCTCTTTCCGCCGAATATACTGATTACGTATCATTCATGTTGTCAGATGGCATGGTTTGTGGTTGCTCTTTCGCTAATTGTTATCTGGGTCGCTTCTCTTTGCAAAATTTTCTTTGGAGCAACATTTAGTTTCAAAGCTGCAATTCTTGATGATGGCAAGTAGCGGGAAGATGTTTATCACCGGTCAATTACTTCTTTCTTTTAACGCTTACTTTTATGCAGAACTTGATATCTCTTTGTCGCTTGGGCTTCAGGTATAACCCCTCACAAGAAAAATGTGCTGTTCGTCATCGCACATCCTGATGATGAGTCAATGTAATATTTAAGAACGCATCTCTCTGGCTGTTGTTGGAAATGTCAAGATTAGTTTATTTGTCTTTTGCTGAGAAATTAGTCTTTGCCATTCTCGACAGGTTCTTTTCTCCAACAATAAACTACTTAACTACCAATGCCTACAACCTTCACATATTATGCTTCTCCACTGGTAATAATATGCCTTATCATACTTTCTAGATTGGTGTATTACTTTCCTTTACAAAGTTTTGGAATTTCATTTTGGACTATAAAGATGAATTTATTTGTTTCAGGTAATGACGATGGTATGGGAAGCATTAGGAAAGATGAGCTGCATCAGGCTTGTGCAGTGCTCAGGGTAAATCCAATTTGTCAAAGAAAGAAGTTTTTTTGTTATTGCAGTGAAGAACGTGTTTGCTAATATATCTCGAACGTGACGCAGGTTCCTCTTCAACAGTTAAAGATTCTGGACCATCCAAATTTACAGGTTAGTGATTAAACTTCCCCAGCACATGTGTATCTTTTCATTCACCATCTCATTTAACGGCTCTGAGTATATTATATTCTCTCTCAGGATGGTTTTGGGCAAGTATGGAGTCATGATTTGTTAACGGAAATCATCGATGAAGCCGTCACTAATCATGATATTCACACGGTATGACTTGACTCCTGAAGCCTTGTTAAAGACACTAATCAAGATATATACTTCAAGTATTTTCCCACTTGATTTTAGATCATAACATTCGATAATTATGGTGTTTCGGGTCATAGCAATCACCGTGATGTGCACCATGGAGTATTGTACGTTAAGACTCTTTTAATCCCTGAGTAATGAAACCGCAAAATCTTTCCTCATCACTGTGTTGTATATGCAGAAAGTTCCTCAAGATTAGAACAGAAAGAAATATCAAAGCTTGGGAAAAACTTGTAAGCTTTACTCTCTTTTTTTTCTTTGAACTAAAAAGTATCTTCAAGCTCCAATTGATTATGAACTCGATTCAGCTAAAATGTCTACATGGTTTTGTACATAAGGTAAGCCTTAAAATCTTTCGCAAGTATTGTGGACCCGTCGACTGGCTGTCAATTTTGTCTGCCAAAAGACATCCGAGTAAACTAATCATTATAAACGAGCAGCCTTGGAAAAGCTTCGAAGCAATGGCACAACATTTAAGCCAATGGGTTTGGTATGTATCTTTTCCCAAAATGTGATCTGTGTTCTTGCTCTGGCCATGATGAATGTAAAGAACGGTAAGAACTGAAACATGAATCTTTGTTGTGTTCTTTTTCTGTGAATGTGCAGGTTTCGAAAGCTTTTCGTTATTTTTTCGAGCTATACATACACGAATATACTTTGTAGAATCAACCCTTGAATCCAGATTTTGAGAGACCTCCTTGCTAGTGTACTTGATTGAATGATTACAGTTTTCAACAAGCAAATGAGTTCTTGACGAGGCAAAGGTTAAACATTTTTTGAACAAAAAGTTGTATCTTGTAATGTTGGGTCATTAATACAACGCGGTGTTTTTATTGATTTTGTACAAACAATATACAATTTATTAAACGATTTATTGTATGTTTTTAATATATTTTATAAATTCAAACAAATGATAATACATCAAAATAAATTTGGTGATTTCACTTAAGAAATTTACTTATTTGAAAGTTTAAAACTATTGTAAGCAGAAATTTGAGATTTGTTGAAATTATTGTTATCATTTGTTATTATCAACTTAAATTGTTTTTACAATTATATTCAATATCTATATATTTTATTTTTTTTGGGTTGAAAACAATTTGAAATTGCATATACCAAATAAAATCACTTATCAAACATATAATCACCGACTTGAAAACATAATTACATTCTTTTTTTTTTAAGTATGATCTTATTCTTGCAATGTCTTTTGAATACTTCTCATGCATAACAAAAGATCATTAATCTATTCAGCATTTAGGCTATTAGTCCTTAAAATCCATCATAACTTAGAATTTCAACCCAAACGAAATTGTCTAATTTATTTCCAATCTTTTAACTTTTAAGCTTAAATCATATATTCATAATTGTTGTCCTGAATTTGTTTCTCAAGAGTTTTTTACCATTTAAAATCTCCAACAATACACCAAGAATCTTGACGATTAGCTCTGAATTGTTTATTTTTCATGTTTTGTTCTGGACTTAATTAACATGTGTCCTTATTTGTGCGTACTCACGTATGATTCCGTATAAATTTTGTAATCCAGATTCTTTACACAAAATAAAGTAGAGGATGTCATTTCCTCTTTAGTATTACAACCATATAAATGGTTTGTTGTTACCTATGCTCATAGCATGGAGCTATCTTGTTAGACGTCTTACTCTTTTACTACTTCAATGTCATCATATATACACCGAATCACTTTTTTTTTACATCTTTTGTTTTTTCGGATTAAATTACCTTTAGTTTTTAACGTGTAACGTTTTATATTTTTGTGTGCCACTGATGTATCTTTAAAATCCGAGAAAAAAACAATCAAACATGTAACACATAAACAAAATAGCGTAAAAAATGATGGATAAACTTATGTTCTGATGTTACCAAATCGTTTTCAGAACAAAACAGAAAGTACCCGACCGTTGCTAGCAAAAATAAAACATTTAGCTCAAAAGTATAGAATACAGGGTTTGTTCATATTTGTCATCATCCTAACTCTTAGACTTTTTCTCTTATGGTGACCATCAGTCACCTCGCCTCCTCCAGCTTTTCTCTTCTTCTTCTCTGATTTTGCATTCTCATATGCCGTCTCCATATTCCTCTTCTTCTTCACCTTTGCCTTCTTCTTCTTGCTTTTCTTTGTGGAGGCCTCATCCGCTGTCTCTTTACCTTCCTCATCTAAAGGAGGCACCCACTAAACACTGAATTCACCACCAAAACTGGAATTTATATGCCAATTTTTTTTATAAAAGAAAAGAAATACCTTTGTTTTGCACACTCTCTTTCACATTTTCATTACATCCATGTTCTTACATGGGATAACACATATGTCATAACAGTCTAGCCTTTCGTCAACTTGCTCGCAAAGCTTCTCACCAAAGGTCGTTGTTGCGCCGTCTGGTCGATGAAGAGAATGCTTTTCTGGTGGTCAGAGACTTTGTAAAGGGCTTTGCAATCGGTGACCATGAACTTGTTCAACCTGTAAATTGAGTTCGTCTGGAGGTTGTCTTCGTAGCGGAACATACGGTTTGCTGGGATGAAACCTTGAACTATGTTTGAATGTATAGATTTGATTAGGTAAAGGTTTTGGTGTGACATTTTTGACTTAAAAATGGGTTGTTCACATACCTCGGAGTCGATGAGCAGTAGTTGAAGACCTATGAGTATGTTTCCTTTTTTGAAATTTATGGCCTCCTAAAAATGAACCAACCGAGCAATGATTTCATGGTTGCAGAAATCACCTTCAATTTTGTTGAGAAGGTGGAAACTCTTTTGCTGGGCAGAGAGACGGAGAGATTGAGATGCCATGATCAAATTTGGTAGAGTGATTGCAGACGTGTTTGTGGATGGTGAGATTTGTAGGAAAGTGACCTTTATAAGCTTCTGAGAGAGGAGTTGTGGGGTTAGCCATTAATGTCAATCAATTAGAGTAATTGAGTGAGGAATTAAGATGAGAAAGTGGAGGTCTTCGGTTTTTAAAGGGTGTCAGGGGAGTTATGTCGATTAAGATGCGGAAAAGAATTGAACAAAGAAGAGCACGATGACTATGCGAAGAAGAAGTGAAGAAAGAAGATGACGGTGGATATTCTCAATATCTAAAATTAACTTGTCGTGTTGGGTTTTAAACGACTGGGCCTTGTTAATTTTTCAAGGCCTATCAAAATTTGGATTTAATTTTGTGGTTGGTTTATAGAAAGCTATTTGGGCTTGGCGTTTTTCCTTCAGCGTTTTATACGGGTACATTTTTTTAGCCTGCTGATTTATATTCTTATTGGGGTTTTTATTAAGAATTTTTTAACGTGAGTTGCAGTGATGACATGGCATCCTCTCCTCAGAGTTTTAATATGCTGATGTGGATAGGCTAAGGAGCCCCAAACAGCTACTTTTATATAGTATAGATTCATTGAATCGAAATTTTGAAAAAAATATATATAAAAATAAAAGGTGGTTAATTGTTTTTTATATATTGTACAAATACCTTTATAGAATCTTCGCAAGTGAACACAAAAATAACAAATTTGTTTGTTTTCTTTAGAATTAATTAGTTGAGAATATAGCCATGTTTTTAGAAAAATTAAGTAAATAACAAAAAGGTATACTTTCAGACGTTTTTATCCTTCTGAATATGTATATATAGACGGTCTATTATTCTGATATTGTTCTATTTAATGTACATATTGTACCCATAGATCTTGTTTTATATTGTACTCATAGATTTTGTTTCTTTTTTTATTCATTCTATATATTAAATGAGAATATAGTTTAATGAAAACATCCGATTTGTTATAATTTGATTGGCTTAGAAAAACTCTCTTGCCAACGTCAATGATGACGTTTATTCCACGTCAAATGTGACATGGCAAGGGCGCTAGCTCTACGCAATTTCATTGGATGCTGATGCTGATGTATAATTTATGTCCAAGTTTTTCTGATTAAAACAAAAACAAAAAAAGAGAAAATCATAAACAGATAAACACGTGGATTTTTATACCCTACCCGGTCCAATTATTTGTGTTTTAAAAACACCATTTGGCCCTATACGTCATACAAGCCATTTATATTATTAAAATTCTGGTTTCTAAAAACTTTTCCGCATAAGAAAATAGAATTTTTTCCCAAAATGGAAGATTACATTAACTATTAGCAGGATTTACCGGAGTTAATGTAACAAAATATACAGAAATCTTAATTTTTCAAAAAGAAACAAGAATTTATGTTACATTTTAATACTATACATCAATTTTGGCAATTAAATCAATTTGAATATATTGATTCTCAAATATTTCCGCAACAATACCTACTTCTACGCACATTTCGAATATCCATATTCTTCATTTTATTCTCTTTTTCAAAATAATTTCAATCCCGCCAAACATCAATTTTAAAATGTTCTCATTGACTTCCTCTCCCTATATATACCACCTATCGTAAACCCTAAAACTCTACCATTCTCATTCACTAAAATGGTTTTAGTCCACAGACATTCGGCTGCTATAGTTCCATTTGCCAAATTAGATCAATCAAGTGAAATTCAGAAAGTTAGAGCTACTATATTTTCACTTTGGAAAGTCAAGAACAGGCAGTTTGGCTTTGTTATAGATATAGTATTGGTTGACGAAGAGGTTTGTATGCGATCTTATGTATTTTTCTTATTGTTATTTTAAGTAATCTATAGATTATATAGTAATACTATTTACGTGTGATTAACAGTGCACTAGGATTCACGCTATTCTTGATGAAGAATTGATCGCAAAACATAAAGGGATCCTTATAAAAGGAAAATCACTTTCTATTAATTGCTTCATAATTAAAGAATATTATGGTGATTTTAGGACGACTCCATTACCATATACAAGATCGCTTTGTGCAGGACAACCCGTGCTAAGGAGATTAATGATTTTCCATTAGATTTGCCAGAGAAATATTTGTCTGATTTCAAGTCAATCAAGGAAGACAAACTCGACAAAAACGTCCTCATCGGTATGTCATCATCTTGATTATGAAATTTATATTATAATGTACATATTTATCATTGTATACAAATATTTTTTCTTGAAGATGTCATTGGACAAATTATCACCGTTGGGAGTATGGAAGTTATAAAAACTAAAGAAAAAAGTGTGATCAGCGAGAAATTGATGATAACACTCCGGGATACTAAGTAAGTAGTTATGATATCATACCAAAATAAACATAACAATATTTTAACAATGTAACGCTAATATGTTTACTGCTGAAGCGATGTCCAACTGAAATGTACACTATGGGGACAATATGCAAAAGTAACTGTTGAGTACACTGACAAACATATGGCTGCTATTGTTGTGTGTGTAATGTGATTTGTCTGTATAAAAGAGTACAAAATTTAGATCACTATATCCCCTATTCATATATACACAGTTTGTAGAGATTGGGTTTGGATTAGTTTGTTAATTATTCTTATTTTATGTTTTTCGAGTATATGTGACATTTCAATATCAAACACTTTCAACTCCACCAAAATTTTGTTTGATCCTGACGTCAAGATCTTGAAAGACTTCAGAGAAAAGTATGTTATGTGACAATTTTAATATCATTTTAATAATATTTTATTTATATAATTATTGTTTACGTTTTTGTAGGTTGCCAAAAAACAATCAAATGAGTGTGCATGCTGAACAGAGTTATTCGACTTTTTGGGGTGGTGCTATTGACTACCGTGAAGAATTTTTAGGTGTGAAAAATAGGAGGCGGACGATAGCTGGAATTCATGATACAAAAGTGGTATGAGCTATATATTTTGAAAATGGTATAAATATATTTACATTTAACTATATACATATTAATGGTTTTGTTATAGCCTGGAAAGATTGTAACATGCGCACTACAAGAAAACAATGATTTTCCGACGGTCCATTACGACGGATTTGAAATCGTCGTAAATTTGCGACGATTTTACGACGATTTTACGTCTAATTTAAAAACCGTCGTAAAACCGTCGTATAAAAAAATCGTCGTAAACTCGACGTACAATTTACGACGAATCACGACGATTATACATCGATAACGAGAGATTTGCTAGTAAATGTAAAGTCGTCGTATATTCGTCGTAATTTTGCGACGACTTTACGACGACTTTGTTTCGATGTACATATTACGACGATTGTACGTCGAAAAAGGAGTTAGGTGAAAAACATTTAAAACATGTGTACCTAACAATTGTAGATTATCGCAAAATCGTCGTAAACTTGTCGTAATATGCTTAATGAATGTAAAACCGTCGTAAAAAGTCGTCGTAAAAGCGATGTAAAGCCCGAAATTTTCCTATAAATAGATCTTCATTCCTTCATTCAATCACAACACATCATCATTCAAACATAAGAGCATCTTCATCTTGGAGACCCATTGTAGGTCTCTTAAATTTTAGTATAGTGTTGTAAATCCTTATATATTGGGTTGTCCATTGCTGAAAACCCGAATTAAGATATTACTTTGAATCAAAGAAGTAATAATATTATAAGGTTAATTTACTTCATTCACGTGGCTAGACGTGACACAAGAGACCACCTATATATAGTTATTGTCTAATCAATAAAAAGAGATATTATTTTGAGTTTATTTTCAAGATGTCTATATACGAGCTAAGAAGTTGGATGTATATGCGTAAAGATTCAGATGGGGCGTTGACAGAAGAATTCAAGAACGGGTTAGAAATATTTATGTATCAGGCTACAAATATGGAGAGAACGAAAGATAGTGGGAAGATGTTTTGTCCTTGTTTGAAATGCAAGAATACGAGGTATACACTAACCAAAACCGTGTGGACGCATTTATTAAATAGAGGGTTTATGCCGCAATATTTTGTTTGGTATCTACATGGAGAAGGATATGGCAGTAATACTCATGGGAATGCTGGTAGTAGTAGTAATTACCAAAGTCATGTTGATATTGATGAATCGAATTATGGTCATCAGCCTAATCAGTATCAATATGACCAAAGTGTAGATCATGATAGGATGCACGAAATGGTGACTGATGCATTTCATGAAACGCATACGGGTAATGCTGTTGAGGAACCTAATGTAGATGCCAAACGATTTTATGATTTGTTAGACAATGCTAATCAGCCAATCTACGAAGGATGTAGAGAAGGCTTGTCTAAATTATCGTTGGCAGCTAGGATGATGTCAATTAAAACAGATCATAACCTGGCTGAGGTTTGCATGGATGATTGGGCTGATCTTCTGAAGGAGTATCTACCGGAGGATAACTTGGCAGCGGGAACATACTACGAAATTCAGAAGTTGATTTTTAGTCTTGGTCTACCTTCTGAGATGATAGATGTATGTGTTGACAATTGTATGATTTTTTGGAAAGACGATGATCAGCTGGAGGAATGTCGATTTTGCCATAAACCAAGATACAGGCCTCAAACTAGTGGGCGTAAAAGGATACCGTACCAACGTATGTGGTATCTCCCTATAACTGATAGGTTAAAACGGCTTTATCAATCTGAAAGGACAGCTGCATCAATGAGATGGCATGCGGAACATACACAAGTAGATGGAGAAGTTGTTCATCCATCAGATGCAAAGGCATGGAAACACTTCAATATGGTATACCCAGATTTTGCTAAGTTCAAACGGAATGTCTATCTTGGTCTGTGCACTGATGGTTTTAGTCCATTTGGTATGTCTGGTAGACAATATTCATTATGGCCAGTAATCCTAACTCCTTATAACCTTCCTCCAGATTTGTGCATGCAAAGGGAATTTCTTTTCCTAAGTATTTTGGTTCCAGGTCCAAATCATCCGAAGCGAGCTCTCGATGTATTTCTTCAGCCACTCATCCATGAGTTGAATCAGTTATGGTATACTGGCGTTCGTACATATGACTGTTCTACGAGGAAGAATTTTACTATGCGGGCTGTGCTTATGTGGACAATAAGCGATTTCCCCGCTTACGGTATGCTATCAGGCTGGACTACACATGGGAGGCTATCTTGTCCTTATTGTCTTCATCGAACTGATGCGTTTCAGCTAAAACATGGTAGAAA